CATAAATACCCGCTCTCTAAGATTAACTTAACCTACAAACTTAACACCAATACCAATAGCCGGAGGTAATTATTGCATCAATACCCGCACTCTAAGATTAACTTAACCTACAAACACACTGATTGTTTTCAAAGATAAGTTCGTAAAAATTAGTCAATGCTGAGGGATACAGTTAATTGTGAAAGAAATCTATTCAGTCGTTCCAGTCTAAATCTTTGTTGTATAAACACTCTGTTAGAGGGTGTTGTATATAAACACCCTATGTATTTCATATTTAATAATTCAAAGTACACACTGTAGTTAAGTTTATTAAGTTGGCACTATTGTTGTGTATTGTTAAATGAGTTTAATAAAGAACGCCAAACGTAAAACAATATTAAGGTAATGGAACTTATTATTCAAAACTATATTTGGATGTTCAAACCTTGCATTTTCCAAAGATTAGATTTTTCCAAGAAAAAAAAATGATATTATTATTTCTGCAGGATCAACCTGAAAGCAATAAAGGAAAAAGGTAACTCTTCCTGGTTATCAGAAGTAAGAAACAGTAAATAAAGTCTATTTTTGAATTAATCACAACTTTTTGCAAATGTTTATTACTTTAACTGACAGATAACTCTGAATAATTTACAAACAACAAATTAGTTAGAAGCAAATGAAGTAATATTTGAATTTTAAAGTGATTCAAATGGTCATAATAACAAATTCATTGCTAATACAGGGCTAGACGGATCTATATAAAGACGGCGAATATGTGATTCCAATAATATGATCGTAGAAAGAAATAAGAAATTGTATATCATTTCTTTTAACATACGATGCTATGTACTCAACTATATTAAAACAAATACTTTGAAATAATTTGCCAAGTATTTTTAGAATAATTTATGTACACATAAAATTCAATTAACTAATTATATATACTCACTGTCAACTAAAACTTTCATAAAAATACTTTAAATACTTTATAGCAAACAATTTAATAAAGGAACATGTGTTGTAGGAGCAAAAATATTTTAATATTTATTTTTACTCATTTAATAACTAAAAATATTTATTTTAAATATTTAATACTGTTGGCTTACTTGGCTTAAAAGTTTGTTTATGTAAACATTTCATATGATGTGAAAATCCTGATGACTGCACTCCACTCCGTGCTTCTCTGTCCTATATTGTTACACACAGCTTGATTCTGCTCAACTGAGTTTAGTTATGTTTATTTATATTTTATTAAAACGAAATATACATAAAAATTGTATCTATTCGTGTATGTTGGAGTGTGTAACTCGCAAAGTTAACTAGCTGCAGTGTTGGCAATAAATATGTAAATAGTATATTTATTATATTTAACACAAAATTACATACGAGTATTTCGAGCAGAGAAAATTATGCGAAAAATTCTTATGGATGCACAAGCTATTAGTTTGTGAAACGAGCAATTTTCAGAAAATTGACTAAAGCCATTGAATCCTTTTTGGGTGCACGGAGCGCAAAGCACAACTGCAACAACAGGATTGTACATAAATGTATCTAATGTGTATGTTTATCACTTGCAAAAGTTGTTTGCATTTTATCATTCAACACAAATTCACTGCATTTATATGAACTCCAACTATCTAGGCAGCTAACTCTGTAGGTATGGTTGTACCAGGATATTTCAATTTTTTTTGTATATAGTATATATAACAAGCAAATACATGTATAGGCACGATTACGCATGTACGTATTTGTTCAGTGCACATTGATCGCTTGGGTAATTACTTTAATTGCTTTAGCAAAACTTCTAGTTCGCTGCAATGTCATTAATGCGATGTGCATTGGCACGGGAGCGTCTATATTAGTGCATCGCTCTATGTTTGTCATATATGTTTTTCGTACCCAAGTATTTGGATTAAGCCATTTTCTGGTTTTTCGGTTAAACATTTTAATTGCAGCTTGGCTTAGTTATCGCCAAATTTGCGTACAATTAGTGGTTTAGTAAAAATTTTTTTAAATTTAATTTTATTTCAAAGTTACTTAAACCCTCAAATATTTAAGCTCTTCTGTTGTACTTTAAACAATTTATAAGCTAAAACAAGGAATGGGAAGACAAACCAGGGGAACAAATTTAGGTTGATTGTAACATACCAGAGCTGCATAAATGCAGTTTAGAAAAAGTTGAGCTATAGAAAAACACAAACAAGACTCCAAGAATGTATATTAAATAATGATGAAGAGCAACTTAATTAAGCAGGAAATAATTGCTAATATATCTACAGAATAGTTGCAGAATGGGATATATATTTTGTTAGAAATGAAGTCAGAAAAAAATTATATGTACAGAATATATAATTAAAAAATCGTGTACACGATTCCTAGCTCTGGCTTAACTTTTGTAAAAGTTTACGGTAAATAAGTTGAAATTTTATTTTCATGGCAGAATAAAAAATTGTCTTGAGTACAAGAATACAAGAAAAGTTTAGTAACAACAGCATTCGATATCTCCAATTAAGCCTCCCATTATAAGGATCTAATGCCAGACGTGTACGATATCTGCTATGCAATTACAAAAGTTGAAAATAACAAAGTACCAAGGTATGGTATGACTTAAATTAATCTTAAATGAATGGTATGATCTTAAATTAATAAATTATTTTATTACACGGATATGGAATTATTTATACCAGAACTCTTGATAACTTACGTTAGTTAATAACAATACTTAAAAAACAAGAACAACATTTACTTTAATTAATTTTTATATTATAAAATTGTTATAATTATTTAATGTATGCTAAAAAGTATTCTCTTGCCTTTCAGTAGAGCAGCAAAGACTTTAAGCATTAAACAATACTAAGAGAATATTATTCCAGTGTTTAACCGAACGGCCCAGCATACAAACCATCAAAACTCTTTCTAGTGGCAAATCGTAAAAAAGAAAATAGAACTCTTATCGGCGCAAATTTGCTGTAAGCCCTACGAAATAAAAATTGAGGATTGAAGATGAGATTAATTATTTTAATATGATATCTATAATCAAGTATAAAACAATAGTTAAGAGTATAGTATGCAAAGTCTACTTTGCAAAGTTAAGAATGGAAAGTAGCCTTTGCATACTATACTGAAATAAGATATACTTCATCATCATATATTTCATCATCTCTAAATCGAAACTGCAGTCACAAGCAAACTTTACTCAATATGTTCAATCAATTTTATAGCTGGTCTGGCAGATATAACAAAAATTTTTTAAGAAAACTAAATTTATTTAGAAAAATTAATAGTTAAATAAGAATAAAATATGGACACACATTCAAAACAATGTCACATTGAAAGGGAGTAATTATTTCCGGTTGTAAATACAGGCAAAAAACTTAAAGATATAATATTTCAAAATGCTTACATGAACAACGAACAAAAGCGGAGTTGTTTTTGTTAAAGGGAGAGGATCCTAATGTTATCATTATAAAATCAGAGTCAAACAGAGCTAATATTTTTGTTTTGATCTTGGTAAAATTTTTATTGAAATATTTTGATTGATTAACGCGAAATACGTAGTCACCGCAGATTCCACAAAATTATACGTGAGTTCATCAAACATAAGTCAAAAATGTTCATTCAAGTTTATGGAATTGATTTTAGTGTATAAAGATAACATTGTATTTCGATCGAATATATTGTTACCAATATATATGTCCACAATTTATTCCACACAATTCGACTGGCGATCATAAATAGATTTTATCCATTGACACTTTGGCGGTCTTTGGCTTAATATCTCATATTAACAATTATCTAGAGGTTACCTAACTTGGCAGCGGAAAAGTGCATTTTCAGTACAACAAAAGTGTTATGAGTATGTAGAAGTCATTCGAAAAGTTTTTACCCACATCTTGAAGAGCCAATTGCACTCATATGCAGTTGATCTGTTTCTATTCATCGTAATGGTCCCATAATAAACAATGAAATTAAAAAAAAATGATTTATTCTTTGGAACAAATTTTCTTTTAAACAGAATTTTATATTATTATTAACAAACACTTGAAGTTGAAGGTACCCAATACAAAGATGAACTTTAGAACATACTTCACATAGATATACTCTGAAGAGAGTATAAAATTTTTAGAATTAAAAAAAAAGCTGCCCATATATGTTAAATCAGTTTAGCTCCTTTCGAATATTCTCAATACTTTTCCTATATATCCAAGCCTATTAAGTTTCGATTTTTAAGTTATAAATTTTTTTAAATAATGACAATTTATAAAAATTTTTAACTAGAAAAAGTAAAGTTATATAATTTTCAGTTGTCAGTTCGTTTAGATACTGAAAGTAATTGTTTATTGGGGATACGCTTCTGAAATAAATTATTTAAAATATTGGAAAACAGGAAAAAATTAAAAAATCAGTCTAATTTTATTTTTAGTTTATTTTGTATTTCGTTTCTACATTGGTGGGTAAGAAATAATTGTTTCGATATAACGTGTCGTGTGTTAATATTAATTTCATATTTAAACAGCAAGTATGTGTTCTCATGGGTTCTTTTATTCCTCCAACGGAGATATTAATATTTATAACACTGGTGAAGACAACCCCAATCTAAATTTAAATCGTAGCCGTTCTTCAACAACAAGTCAGGGAGCTAGATACGTTGTTATAAATGAAGTCATGGGCAACAACTATTCCATGGATATAGTAAGTGTAGATCAGATTCCAAGAGTGCTCGGTAACAGCCAAATCAATGGTATTGTAAGAGTACCAGAGGCTGAATCACAATCTGATTTTGATCGTTCCAACAATATTTCTGGCCCTTTTCCCATCGTAACTTATTCGGAAGTATTACAAAGTACCAGACGTTCACGCAGCACTCGGCAACATCGTTCGCATCCATATCGTAGAAATGCTCGCAGATCGCAAGGAATAGAATATGTTGCCAACGAACGGCCACAATACGAACAAATTAGAGCCGTCCCAGAGGAAGATGTTGAAGAAAATCAAATGGAATTGGGTAATGTGATTGAACCTTCATCCAGCATTTATCAACCAATGGACTAATTTAGTTACTCAGTGCGAAAGAACATTGCCATTCAGAAGAACATTGATATGAAAATAGATTTTATGATTTTTTAAAATTAGTTTTATTTTATATTGCACGTTGAGTTATTTTAAGAGTAAAACAAATAAATTACTTTGTAATCGCAGTTCTCATTTTAAAACAATGTGTTTCATCTTTGAAAGCAAGAGAATTTAAAATAGCACAATAATATTACTAAGTATGAATAGAATAGAATAAAGCAGTCCAAATAATTATTAATATAAAGTATATAAAAATGGGGTTCGAAAGCGTAATTTTGCTTTTCAAGAAAATTATTTTTCATCAGCATATAAATTCCATAGTCCAAAAGAAAAATAGAAACTCATATAAAAGAACTGTGACTTAACAGCAGAAATAACCAGAAATAACTGAGATGAAAAAAACTCAAAAAACTTGACTCAGAAATTATGAGCAAAAATCAAGCAAAATAACACTGATTTTAACTACTAGCTGATTTTAGTTGTTAATATATTTCCAAAGAGACTTTAGCGGACATTCAAGTTTGGATAATAGATGCATTACGGCTTTATAAAGCTAAAGCAATAGATTCCAATACATGATATACAAGGGTCAATATTTATATTTTTAGCCTAACATTTATGATGCGTTTCAACCACTTGTGAAAGCATTTTTTCTAATCTTCAGACATCTTCAACGCATGGTTCGCATAACGGTTTTCGCCGACAAAAATTGTTGTCTACACAATTTATGAGTATTCTTGACGTTCAGGAACAAGTCAGAAGAAGAAATCATTGGGTGCCAAATCAGAACTGAGGACTGTATGGCGGATGACCTATCAATTCGATTTTTTGAATGTTCAGATACGAGTAGTAGGTTGTTGGACGAAATGTGTGTGCACTCACATTGTTTTGATGGAGATGGAGGCTATCCCGACGGAGCTTGTTTTCCATACTTCACTGAAGACTTTAGGTTGTATACCATTCGGAATTGACCGTTTTACGTTTACCCTAAAAAACAAGCGACCATTTGTTTCGATGTGCTTCGAACGCAGTCTTATTGAAAAGCCTATAGATTGACTTAAAAAATGTTTTCCTGTTTTTATCGCATGATGCGCTACGAGTGCGAACAGATGTGATTTAAAATTACTTTTGGAATGCTATTTTATTTGGAATAATAGAAAAAAAAAATCAAATAAAGTTGATTTAACATATTTAACCGATGTAACACAAATAACATTTAAGTGAATAATATTTGCAATTTTATTTAATTAAATATAGTTTATTAAATAGAATATTATAAAGGTGATATCAGCAACCCGAAATGAGAGAAGTCTAGTAGATCAACTATATAACAATATTATTAATACTATTATAATAGTGTTATATATTCCGTTGGGAACACGAGTGTATTAAGTTATTGTATCATGTATTGTATTGTACTATTGTATTAAGTAAAGCAAAGTTCTAAAAAGTTACTGTAATGCAGAGTTTTAAAGTTCTATCGTAAAGTACTACTGTAAAGTATTACTACGAAATACTAATGTAGAAACTACTATAGGATACTACTGTAAAATACTATTGCTAATTACAACTGTTAAGTATTGCTCTAAAATACTTTAACAAAATACTACTGTAAACTACGACCGTCAAACACTACTGTAAAATGCTATTGTCACATATTACTGTAAAGACAACAGAAATGTACTAAAGTAATGTACCATTGTTTACTAATTCGTATACACATAAACGTCTATATCAGTTATATCGACATTTATTAGAATTGCTTAATAAGATATTTAGTTACATTCATGCCAGAAAAAGTAACCACTTTCACCATGGAATTTTGTACAGCAAGTACAACAAAAGTTTCTATTGATAAAAGTTGTATAGTAGCATGGAACTAAAATCAACGTAGCCCACCTAAGTTAGCAATTCCTAGCATTTTACATTGATATTCGTATCTCAAATTAAATCTACTGAAATCTGCTTTTATCTGGGGAAGTGAAATTAAAATGCTCTGTCTGAATATGAAAAAGAACAAAAAGAAATTTAAAATATATTTTACTTCGTACACATAAACCAACAAAGCAGGCAAAAGCAACAAAGCCTCTAAATAGTTTAGCACTTACCTGGCGGCATAAAGCGTCGACTGCCTACAGGCGCTTCAGCAAAAGGCAAGCCCAGATATTGATCAACATCACGTAAGCCAGTTGAAGTATTAAAGCGACGTATTATGCCCTTTAGGCGTCCCTGCTTAAGACTAATCTCTTTAGTGTATAGCAGCTTCTCTGGTATTATATGACGACGTCCAGAAAAATGTGTTGCAGTTGATGTGCTGCTGTTATTGCTGCCATTAGTATTTATTGTCGGTGCTGGTACTGCTGCTGGTGGTGTTGCTGTTGCTGTTGCTATTGCTGCTCCTGGCAATGCTATACCTATTGTTGCTGCTGATGATGATTCAGTCCAAGTTCTATTCAATGTGTTGCCATATTTTTTAAATGGTGCATCACTTGCAAAAAGTTTTGCCATATTCTCTTTAAAATCCAAAGCAAAATTCTCTGGAAAATGAACATTTTTAGAACTTTTAGAATTTTTTGGATTTTTGAAGTTTTTCGCATTTTTTAAATGCTGCACATTTTCTTTGTCATTTAACCATTTTGTTGCCGTTGCCGTTGCCGTTGTGGTGGCTTTTATGGTTAAAGTTCTTGTATCTATTGTAGTTGCTGCTGTTGCTGATGTTGTTGTTGTAGATGTAGTGGTTTCTGAGTTTTCAGTGTTTGGCTCTATGGCGCCTATTACTGCGGGAGTCGTGTTCGGAATTTTCAGTTTTGTACCAGCATCATCAGTTTTCGTTTTCTGCTTCCTCTTTCCTTGGAATCGTCCAGCGTCCGACACTTCGGTATTTATTATTGCATTCGCTTTTAAGTTGTTTAATTCATTTTCTGTTGCTATTTCCGTTCCTGCCGTTCCTGTTCTTCCAATTGCTGAAATTTGTTGCAGCTGGTAGTGTTGCTGCAGCAGTGCCGCTCCGAAACAGCCATCAGTATTTAATTGATTGTGATGCATGCTGAGCAATGTCAACCAAAATAGCCAAAATGTTGTCGAACGGAAATCCATTTTGTTTTCTTGCTTGATTGTTTGTAGTCTTTTTACTCTTATTATTGTTGTTGTTGTTGTTTCTGTTAGTCCCGTTGTTGAAAGTGTTGGTTTTTTCTACTTCTGAATTAATCTTCTTTGTCGAAGAAACAAATTTTTTAATTTTTTTAGTATGCTATTTTCGTATATTTTTTCACTTGGCGTCAAGAATTCTTCGAATATTTTCTCATATTTTTTTCCATTTAATTTTTTACTTTTCTCAGGCATTCCGCACGTTTATTTTTCTTTACTTTTGTTTGGAAATACTTTCACTTATGTGTCATTTATTGTTTCTTATTTGTTTTTATTTGATACATTTAATTTATTTGATATGTCCTTTGAAGTTGAGAGTTATTTCCGTCACACTATGTAGGTTGGATTTTTCGAATCCTAAATGGTCTAAAGTTTTACCAAAATTTAATCTGAAAAAAAAGTTGAGTTAATGGTAAAATATTTTTAAAAACAATAAAGTTTAAGCAAAATATTTGTAATATACTTAGTAAAAACTCAAAGCTAGTATTGATATATAACATTTAATAAGACAAAAAGATTTATGTATCTTACACGATTTAGCACTTAAAGAGGTGTTTTAAATATAATCTATTTATACAAATTTTTTCTCATTTTTTATAAATCTAATATTTCTATAATTTTTTCATTTTGTTTTTGTACGTTTTCTATGCACCGTTAACTTTTTTCATCCAGATAGTAGAGGCATCCCAGAGACTTTTAAGTTAAAAAGGTATAATTGTGATCTTAATATCAAATGTTTGTGTTTTCATACATCCGATCAATTTCTTAATGCATATCAGTTGCGGCATCCCTGAGACTAAGATATCTATAACATTCAATATTGTGATTTTAATATCGAGTATACACAGATTTTCTAAATAGTTGTATACATGTCATACAAATAAATCTTCTACGCCCTAAATATCCTTCCGAACGAATAATTCGGGTTTAGGGATGATCTCTCCACGGAACTACAACATCGTAGCCAGAACATCGCAACTGATACAAACCGCTCTATCATCCCGGGAATCAACCGGGATGATAATATTCGACATAGCCAAAGCCTTTGACAAGGTCTGGCATGATGGCCCATTTTGGAGTCCCAAGCGGGCTGATTAATATCATCGGTAGTTTCCTGCAAGAAAGGTCCTTCCGAACTAAAATTAACACAACTCTTTCGTCCGCACAATAGAACAATAGAAGCAGGTGTACCTCAAGGGTCGCCACTGTCACCCACATTGTTTAATATATATACGACAAACATCCCCACCTTAAGGCCAGTGTCAATGGCGCTTCATCTACTCTGACCGGGATGCCATAAGTAACACCTTACAGAGAAATATAGACCTCATGTTGGAATACTTCCAGAAATGGAAGATTAAATTTTACAACGACAAAACCAAGGCTACATTTGTAACACGATAGAGAAGGCAGCATCCTCCAGGAGTGAGCGTAGATAGTGGCACGGAGATACAGATGTCTCTTTTGTTTTACGTGATTTCCTGCCTAATTGGCTCAACAACACGGTGCTCTCAACACTCGTATTAATTTAAGCGTCAATCAACGGCCCATTGAAATAGTCTGCTTCTATTCCGCCGGTACCAATGAAGAAATTCATGCAAGTTATAACTTCCACCTTGGTAAGATGCGAGGCTTACCTACTGACCTCTGCTACAATTTGGGCTGCAGCACCCGGTGTGAAACGCACACCACGGCGAATGAATAACAAGCAAAACTTTCTTCCCCCGTAATTTTGGGTATTAACCACAACCACTTCGAGTCCAACACCAATGGTCAGCACAGCCGAAGCTGTCGGGCCACTGACCACCGAAGTACCAGATAGTATTATCTCTGGTCAGATGTCGCAAGTTGCCGCCCACAAGTTACAACCATTCGGACTTCTTGCATAAGTGCCAGACTGGCACTGGGGGATATTAATCGCCTCTTACGACAGGCCATCCTAACCGCGGGAGTATTCTTTTCCCCTCTCCGCAGGGAAGCACGGAGATACAGTGGGAGGAAAGCATAAAATATCGAAGGGTCACTTTTGACAAACGGCTTAATTGGTATAAACATATGAAATGCAAACGGAATACAGCAAAGTCTCCAATACTGCTACAAAGCAATTACAAATAGTACAAAATCTGGCTTGAAGAAGATTAATTAAGATTCCTCGGTATATTAGAACAACAGACATGCATAGAGATCTAAGAATCGACTCAGTGAAAAAGTATTTCAAGGACAGAGTCCTAAAATTATTCACAAAAGTTAATACGTTGCCCAACCCCGCTCTAACAAACCTTAAGTCCACCTCAGAACGCACAGGAAGATATGCTGATCTACGGTCCTTCATCAGTTAGAAAATAAATAAATGATAATGATTCTAGTATAGTTAAAGTTTAGTGTGGGGCAGGGATAAACCCCTCAGCCACAATAGAGTAAAAGTGCGCAATAGCACTGACTCAAATCACAACAACAACAACAACAACAACAACAACAACTTGTAATAGAATGATAATAATAATGATAATGATTCTAGTATAGTTGAAGTTTAGCGTGGGGCAGGGATAAGCCCCACAACCACAAAAGAGTAAAAGCGCGTAATAGCAGTAACTCAAATCAAAACAACAACAACAAAAATTATTTCACATAAAAATAGTATAAAATTTATATTTTGATTTACGTTCTTTTATTTAGTAAGTATTGAAACTCTTAAAAAATTGATATATACTTGAAATTAAGATTACAATATCGAGTAGATATCTTAATAATCTCAGGGATGGTGCTATTGACATAGAGTAAAATATTATCGTTGTGTCGAAAACGAAAAAAAATTAATTATATAAATTTAGCAAGATTAACTTTCGCAAAAATCATTCATTTGTATTATGTTAGAAAAAGTTTTCAAAGAGATTGGATTTGAACCATCATAAGTACGACGATGTATTAAACAAAATTTTAGTGTTTCATAAGCATACTAAAACCGGGGATATATAAAAAACTAGTAAAAAGACTAGTTATATAGACCTTATAATTTCCATACTGACATTAAATAGTCATTAAATGTATCTGATGCTGTCTAATAATCAAAAGTTTCGAGTTAATACCCAGACTATAGTGAGAATGAAGTAGATTTGGTATTCTTGAATAAATGTTGTAGTGTGTTAAGGAATTTAAATTTCTCTATCAGATTATAGTGTAACTTAATAAAAGCAGAAATTAAAACGCTGTCACAAAAACTAATATAACATAAATACATATAAACATGTATCGATTATGTCAGAATTTTACAAAACAAAATTGTACAAAAGAAACAGATTAACAAAAAATGCTTCAAAAATATTCCTTTATGGATTAAAGTAAGAATTTATTTTATTTCAATTATATGAAGGACAATATTTTTATTTAAAAAAATCAGTGCTTTACCAACGTTGATTTAAAATTAATAAATAAATTGCTCTCTCAAAGGAAAAAATTTGCTTTAGGCAACGGAAGAAAATGAGAAAAAGTCTTAAAGTCTTATATTAATTCGTATTTATTTAAAAGAATCTTAAAGAAAATAATAAACAATATATGGAATTGAGTGCATTACTAGAGCACAAACATTTTTAAACAATGTACGTACATAATACGTAAGTGCAGAAATATAACTTCTCACTTCTATTCTCAACAGAAAGTACCTCTTCATCATAAGTACAGCCACTCTGTATTTTACTCTCTATAGAAACTTACTCTACGCCAACTCTAGACGACTACTTCAAAAATTCATTAAATTTGTTTTATTTTATTTTTTAAGAAAGTTTTTGCTGCAAAAACTCCAGAAAGCGTAAAGAACTCCTATTAATAATTTGCTGTGGAATTATTAATTAAAATGTATTCATGAAAACATTCGTTGACGCATTTTAATTTACTATTCAGTCAACGCATTTATTACAAAAAGTTTCCAGAAGCAAAGGCTTTAATTACTCTGTTTCATATAAAAAGTAATTATCCTTACACTCACATAATATGTAAGGCAGTCTTTGTATAAAAGCTGGAAAGACAGACAGAGGAATCAGAAATCTGAAATTAAGTAATATGCAAAAATTCAAAAATTTTCAGCAAAATATTTAAAAATTAATGATATTAAAATACATATAGAATAGTATTTATATAGTATAAAATCAACTATCTTCAAAATGCAATAAAGTTGATGTTCTACTCACTATGTTGTCTAAGATATGATTTCCATATATCTCAAATTCTCATATTCCATAGGTTCGTATCTCACGTAAAAAAAAAATTTTTATTTTTTACCGATATACGAGTCTATTTATTTTATTAAAGGAGCTTGTAAAAAATATCAGTCAAATCAGCAATGAGGAAAATGAGAAGAAATATTTACAAAAATCTGTCCGGTTTAAGTGAGAATTATTCATAACTGTTAACCTTGTCTCCGCTTGAGATCAAAAACAATATATTATCATACTATAGCTAGACACATCTTCTCTGCCGATATATTCCACCATATTCATTGATTTACTTGCCCAGGTGGCTCAAGCAATCCGGTGCTAAATATCGTCATATGTGATGTATTCGAAAGCGGCGATTGTCACAAAATTGTATACGATCTAAGATCTTACAAAGAACTTTTTTCTAATATATTCCTAAATCTGTTTCACTATTTGGAAAAATGTTGTTGCTTCTTATCCGTATAAAATAGACGTATAGAAGTTTACTATACATTGGAACTGATTTCCAAGTAGTAACATTCTATTTAAATTTAAAGGTCAGGATAACTTTTGATTTATCAGTCGAAGTCATTTGAATGACCATTGTGATAACCACTACCACTACCTTGCATCAGCAATTTTGGTTTGATGATGAGTTGGTTGTCGTACAAAGCCAAATTTGATAAATTTGATTAATGATCAATTAGAATGTGCCTTTTTTGGTCCCGTTTTCGTGCAACAAAAGCCTCGTTTCAGGTTCTGTTTTTTAAAACTCTTTGGATTATGGTCCATAATTATTTAACAACTTCCAGAAATCTCTTACTATAAAGCTTTGTTGCTGGTTGAATGAAGAGTGGAGATCAGTTCAAGAAATTAAATGTCAAATAGAGATGGCTAAAAACTCTTTAAGCGAATTCAAAAAAGTTTTATACTATAGCAACTTCAACATTAACCAACACATCCGCTACGTGAAGTGCTATGACTGGTCCATTATACTCTATGTCTTGGAATCGTGGAACTCAAAAATTCTTACAATGAACGAAATCGAAGCTTTTGAAACGTGGTACTACAGACGTTTTCTGAAGATTGCTTGGACAGACAAAGTATCAAATGAAGAAGTTCTAATAAGATAGAGAATTATCATAATAAGAATCATAATAAGAAAAACGGGGTAAAATACCTTACTCAAATCATCCGAG